ACATTCTAATTTTCTCCTTCCCCTTTAGTGATAATAAAAAAAGTGAGAAAAGTAAAGATAATATGAAAAAGAAGAAAAATAGAATTAATAACAAATGCTTATTATCATTGTTTCACAAAATGTTTGTTATATAACATAATTTAATAATATTTTAATTTTTTAATATGTCTTTCTTTTAATTTCTTTAAAAATATTTTTCATACATTAATTTCTTCTATAATTCTGTCTCCAACAAAGACCCGTGTGTATCGACATATTCACCCTGTTTAGAGCAACGTTTAGCCGGTATGAATACAACATATATATTTCTATGAAACTTCCTGGTTGCAAAGCAAGGAAAAAAACATTTTAATTGCTTTTTGTGAAGAATGAAGAATCTAAAGATTAACTTTTTTTACAAAAATATTTTTTTAATTGTGCTTTTAAGATATATATTAAGAGTACCTTTTTTAATATTAATTATTATTAAAAAATAAAATTTAACTTTTTTAATTAATTATTCAATTAAAATATTAATTTATGTGACATTAATGATAAAATTAATATCAACTGTTATTATTTTTTATCTTAATTAATATAAAAAAATACATTAATTATGCTTTTAATTAACCTATTCTTTTATTGAGTAAAACCGAGTAACAGGCCTTGATATGATAAGCACAATTAACTAATTTTTATGGGAACAAATGAATGCATGCTTCCATGCGCGTGTACCGGGTACATATAATACTGTCTCGAGATGCAATCCAAGAAATTGTTGATGGTTTCAACCAATAAAAAGGAGGGAAGAGTATTTCAAGTCCATTTTACACTATAAATTTGTTCGAGAAAGACTTCTGTCTCCAACAAAGACCCATATATCCCGCATTTTCACATGTTTAGAGCAGATGCTGTGAAAGGAAAATATTGCTTTTGGTGAAGCATCTCTTAGACTATGCATTTTTTAAGAGTACAAGTGAGCAACTGACCTTGATATACATAATCAAACATAGATGAGTGCCATGTCCACTCAGTGTGAGTCCACGACGCACAAGCACAGAAGCACTTTAATATTTTTGTTAGTCTATCTTTCATTTTTTTTTATTAAAATAAAATTAGTACACTTAGGCCAATAAAGGGCTGAGTGCTGCATTTCTCTTAAAATATATTCACGTGCTTTGGGGCCGTTAGAGTTATTGTGAAAAGAAAATATATTGCTTTCAAATTAAGACGATTAAGCATTTAAACACTTATTAGTATACATTTTGATTTAATATATTACATATTTTTTTTAATATAAAATTATAAATAAATAAAGTTAAAAGTATAATCTTGAATATAGGATATAAGAATTGACTGAACCGAATTGTATTTATATTATATTTTAGTAGTTGAATAAAAAAATATTTTGAATGTGTACTAATTATTTTTTTAAAATCTTTTTTAAGAGCACAAGAATTGATGCTTCACATGTGTTGTAACTTTGAGTAGGATTTGTTGAAAGTTTGGAATCTCTGGATTTACTACTGTGCTC